AAAAAAAAAGACTAGACAACACAGGAGCTGCTGTGCCCCTATGCATGTGGGATACATGATGATAGATTAGGCTTGCCAAATAGTTTCCAGCAGAGTGGGCTCTTACTCAAACAGCTTGATATTTTTTATCCTCACACATGCCGAGCATCGTTAATCACAGATCACTGTGCAAAGAAATACTCTTTTCCTTACAGCAGCTCTCATTAGTAGCTGTTTCCAATGTAAATAAGGAGATGATGTGTGGATGACTGTCCCTCTGATGAGCCGAGGCTTTACCTGCAGTGTTTTTGCCATCAAATTTTCGAGCTGTGGATTCTCAAATTTGTCTTGTGACAGGCGCACAGCTTTGTGTTGTTGACCCTGTCCACAAACATCACAGTGACCAACAGGCAGAAGAAATGAATGCTTCTTCCACCCAGGGATCCAAATGTTACACCAACCACAATTATTTTAGATTTGGTAAAAAAATGACTAAGGCTAAACAGAAATCAACAGGGAGGCAGTCATGATATTAATACAAATGCTTTTGAACCACAGGATAGTGGATAAACCACAAAATTCACACTTTCTCCTTCCTGATTTAAAACTAGAATCAATTAAAGCATGTCTCTAAAAGAGTAATTACCTGACTTATGACTTACTAATGATTCGTCTGCTCTCTTACACATGGGTGAATGGGTCAAAAGGTACTTAAAATTCACATCGCTGGATAACAAAAGCTTCTCAAATCCACTTTCTCACAGTTTCGGGTTGACTTTGTAACCTCTGTGCGCAGTTGTGGAGGTACCTTAATTCTTTACACTATTAGACATGACTGCGATGCACGACGTACCCCCTGGTGACACTGACACGGATCACAAAGGCAGACGTCTTCTCCTAGACTTGTTGCTTTAATTCCACCAGAACATTTAGTTGTCAAAAACTAAACGCACAGATTTTTTTTTACCTTGTGTTTCATTTTAAAACTCCTCTGTTGAAGCGCTGCTCAAATCTTCTTGCACTCCTCAAATGTTAAACTCCAATGCAAATAAGTCTGCCTGAAAACGGTTCACAGCAGTGCATTGTTTGTTTGTGCTATGCCGCTCTGTCCTCACCTATCAATGACCTCTTTCTGGTGCGGACCCCCACACAGTCAGCTGTGCAAGACGAGAACTTGGACCAGTTGGTCAGCTGGCAGTCATCCTGGCAGGGGAGCTGACAGCGCTGAGTGATGGCAGGCATGGCCTTGGCAAATTTCAGACACTCGCTGATATCGGCCTGCGTCCCGTCCAGCTGGCGGCAGGACACGGCTGGAAGAATGAGAGGAAGTCGGGTCAGAAGACCCCATTAGAACATTAAACATTGTGATTTAATGACTGATTGTTTCAACAGATTGATTGGACGTCGTAACATGAATGGAAAGTTAAAGACATTGTTGAAAGGTGATCAAAAGTTGAATGTTTATAGGAATACTTGTGTAAAAAAACCCATTCAAGTTGAGATGACTAAATACCATTTGTCATGACTGTTACTGTTACAGTTTACTTTACTTTTTTGATACATTTTCCATTTGCAGGACTTCCTCTGAATCTTACTTCACCACAGCATATTTTGATTTTGTAGACAAAACAAAATGTCCTAAAAAGTATTTATTAAAGTATTTAGCTCTACATTCAGCAATTCCAAAATGAGAAACACACTTATATGTTGTATTTGTGCACAATAAAAATATAAACGCAAGGGTCATTCATATTTCATATAGTGTGGTTGCTTCCAGTTCAACCACAGTAGATTTCCCTGCAATGAAGCACGGAAATCTCACTTACGGTAAATGTCTAAATTTTACAGGACGGAAAAGTTCAGCAAGGTACTCTCAGCTAATCCCTTATTTCCCAAGAGCCTACCACGGCACACGGATCTGCACCTTTGATTTGGTAGAGATTTTACGCCTTTCCTGACACATTCCTCCCATTTATTGAGGCTTGGGACCAACACTCGGAGTACACTAGCTTGTGACTTCCTGAAGCTGGGTTTGTATCTCCTCCCAGTCTCAAACCTGCTCAGTATTTAGGTCAGA